GAGATTTGATTGTGGATTTTTGCAGTGGAGGGGTAATGTATATTTTTGTTTGTGGTTCAATTTCTTTCAGCTTTCATCTTCACAGCTCTAGGTGGTTGCTGCCACAAAGCAAAGCAGAAGTGCAAATGCTGAAATTTCAGCTGCTTCCAAAGGTTCTTTTATTGATATGGGGATGCCCATCAACATAATGAGTGAAAAACAGGGAACACTGAAAAGTGACTGAGATTGCTTTTTGTTTTCACAGGGCCATGTTGGAATTGTTCTTGCTTATATGATGCCATCATGTCAGGTAAATTCTCAATAAAAAGATGTCTGGTAGTCGTCTTAAAAAGATGTGTATGTAGGGAAGACACACAGAAGTCACAGTTGTCTCAGCAGAGGATTTAGGTTTAAAACATGCAAATTTTTTAGCATAATCCCCAAATGTGTGTGGTGCTTTCCAGAAAAGACAAAAGTTGTATGAAAATATAAAATATTTTCAAGCTGATTAATACTGGCAGGTATTAAATGCCACCAATTGTTCCTGGGTGTCCAGCTAACCATTTTGTAGATCTCAGACTCTGCCACTAGTGATTCAGGGGTTTTCTCAACAAACTACAAAGTTTTCTGCTTGGTAATGTTGTACTTTGATTTCTCAGTATTATTTTGCCTTACTTTGTCTTATGTGTGAAATCTAGGTGGTACTTATAGAAAATAAGGAGTTGTCTCTGATCCGTGCTAAAGACAGAAGTGATGAACTAGGTTTAAACAACATTTGGTTCATTCAAGCAAATTTGGACTATTTTAATGGGACTTTTAACATTGGGGTAAGTGATTATAACTTTTCCACTTCAAAACTTCAGTGTCTGATTAGTTATTCTTAAAGTAACTGATGCATGTAAGAGGATAAAATCCTGTATGTCTTTACAGACTCTGAAAGTAAATGAGATTAATGTCCTGTCTAGAATTTTTCAGCCCTAGTGAAGAATAGGGCATAAATAGTATTTTGTAGCTCTGTAAATATTCCTGTCATCTAGTTTTTTACGCTGTTTATAGAATATAACCTCTGTGGCAAGGTACAAGCTTTCCATGCAAGATTGACTCTTCTTTAAATCATCTATCTAAAAGCCTGTTTTGACTGTAGCTGAGAGTGGGTCATGCTGAAGGTTTTTGGTACATGAATGGTACTGTTTAACTGTTTGGTTGGTTTATTTAAGAAAGGAAAAGAAATTTAGTGCAGGAGAAAGAGGAGAGAATGAATGTTTTTAGCCCAGTCCTTCCAAGTGTAAATTTCCAGTTCTCAAGCTTTATTTTCTGTGTTACATTGTCATATAAATCTCAGTGAGTGAACTAGAGAGCTATTTCAAAATATCAGGATCTCATGAATAATACTCTGAATTGTGTGTGTGAAATGTTTAATAGTTGTTTTATGAAATGAGTCTCCTATTTTGAGGTCATTAGAATTCCTGTCTTAATTTCTGGGGCCTGTTTTAAGGATTAATACAATATTAACCCTGTGGAGTTTTTATTTAAAAAAAAAAAGTATTCTCTCTTCAAGTTCTGTTACAAGGGAGATATCAAAGTATACGTCAGAAGAGTTTACTTGGAAATTTTTCTTTTTCAGGCATTCATTTTCAAATATCTGAATTAGTCTTCACATTTTATTTTGTTTCAGACAGTGAATTCAATATAAAGTGTATCCTGAGGAAGCTTTGTTTGTAATTTTATTTGGGATTTTTTTCTTAACTAAATGGGTTCTCAGAAAGCCAAAGAAGAAATCAGTTGGTGTAACAGGACATACAGGCTTAGCAAAGTTACTGGTTTATCTGCTGCTGTTTTAAGGCTTCTTTTTCTGCAAGCAAAGCAGAGAGCTGTTTTCTACTTGGATAGATGAGGAAGTAACTACAATGACATTCCATGATAATCTGATAGCTGTGATATTAAGAATCTATTTCTGATGTTAAACTAATTTTATTTTTTTAATTTTAATTTTGTTGTAAAATTCATATGAGCAGAAGAATCCATTGTGAAATTATTTTCTTGTTAATTTTTTAATGTTGTGCCTGAGACTAGAATATTTGTTTCCATCTGCATGCAATTACAGTTCAGTTGATGATTAATGGTCTCCTTGACTGAGCTTACAGCAAGCAGACTGGAAACAAAAAAGACTTTGTTTTAATCTGTGTCTGAGAGCAAAGTTTTTATCTTCCAGTTGCTCTACCTTGACAAACAGCT